GACCGCGGCCCCCAGGCAAGCTGGCCAAGAGCACCTCCTGCTGGGTCCCGCCGGAGGGGTTTACGCGGTGCACACCGCACCACCCCGCTGCGAGCGATCAGAAACGGTAACGAGGAAAGGCATCGAGACTCCCTCCTTTCTGAGGACCAAGCTCAAGACAGGAGGCCCTGCTCAGGAGCAGAGGGGACCGCCGACCAGGGTGGACAGTGTGGTCGGACGCAGACAATCCTGGTGGCGCCCCCCGCCCCGTCTGACCCTCACAATCATCCTAGAAGGTCACCGTGATTATCTCCACGTCACGGGAGTCAGACGGGAACAGACGTCCCACTCCAGCACGTTCTGGCTCGGTGCTGGTGGGGACATGCACCTCCCAGGGCTGTCGCAGTGGCTTTCACAGGGACCGTCACCAGCAGTGACGGGACAAAACAGCTCCCTCTGCCTGCCGAGCGCCCGCCGTGCCGCAGGCCTCCGCGGCATCATCACACTGAACCCTATGACCGTGCCTCGGGCCCAGGGCGCCAGCCCACCAGCCCACAGGATGGACGAGGAAGCGAGCACGGGAGACACGGCCTCGCCCCAGAGCAAGGGGAGCCCTCAAAGCCAGCCCCCCACGCCCACTTGCAGGAGGGCCTCACGAGGAAGGCCACTGTGAGCTCTGTCCCCTGGAGTCCCTGTCTGCTCACATTAGAGCAGAGCGCCACATGCCAGGTGGCAACAGGCGCGCCCGAGCAGGGAGCAGTGTGTCCAGACGGGCTGTGAGCACCAGAAGCTGGGGCGGCGGTAATGCCAAGTCACTCCCACCCCACTTCCCTGGGGGGTCTGAATTCGATTAAAGCAAACTGGAGTCACTCAGCAAACATTTCCGAGGCCAACGGCTCTGCCCTGTGGGCCAGGGTGGCGGCAACCCGAAGGTGGGGGACAGTGGCGGGAACGAGCAGGAGCCCGCACAGCAGCTGAGTGGCCTCAACGTGGGGCCACGATGACGACCGGCCAGATGCCCTCCAGAGGACAGATACGGTGGCCCCCAGGATGACAGAGAGGCCCAGGAGCACAGGAACTATAAACACCTGTGAGTGGTCGCACAAACTCCCCAAACCAGCAAGCCCGAGGCCCGCATCCAGGCCCGGATCCCCGGTCTGTGAGCAGCCCGAGGCCCGCCCCCAGACCAGCCTGCATGCAGCGCCTCCCGGGCCGTGGCACGCCGCTCACCTCCCCAGCTGGCAGGGGCCTCGGTTAACAGGCCACTGCAGCCGACAGGGCACCAGGGATGGGACCGCTCCTCCTGACGGATGCCTGACTGCTGTCCAGTTCAGGCCACCCCGCCCACCCGGGGCTGAACTTTGCACCCAGCGCCATCTGGGACAGAGAGGGACAAACACACCCCCCAGCCCTCCTCCCCAAGGTCTCCTGGAAGCTCCTGCCTGGCTTCGCTGCACGCCGCTCCAAACACCCAGGGGCCACCAGCAGCGATGCCGGTGGCCATGCTCCTGGGGCTGCACGGGGCAGGGCTCCACCGCAAAAATACGAAAGTGAAACCTTCTGTGGTTAAATATCTGAGACGGAACACTTCCTCACGTCCCACCGCAGCGACCGGCCCACCAGCAGTCCAGTCCGGGGCACGCAGGGAGGGAGCAGAGCCGGGGAGTACTGTGATCATCTGTGTCAATGCAAGTTCAGAGTCTGGCCCTGGCCCCAGTGACCCCCAGTGACCTGTGACCCCAGCGGCGGGACACACATGGCAGCTGGTGGCCGAGCTCAGAGGGCCCCACGCTAGCTGACCTCTATCAGGCCCGATGGCAAGGCGGAGAGAGAGCCGTGAGCAGGCACTGGCGTCGTCTGGGTACATGCAGGGAAACTGAGGGAAGAGAGCGGTCTCCGAGCAATCCCACAGCACTTCCAGGCACTGTGCCCAAAGAGAGAGGACCGTTTGGGGAAAAGAAACCTAATTTAAATTTAAGGGGCCTAAGGCACATCCTGGGGCAGGTCACGGTCCTAACACAGCTCAGGGGCCATCCAGGGGTGCACGAGAGGCTCCCCGAGGGTGCTTCCCGCTCTCCCAGGCGTTAGGGGATGCAGCCTGACCACTCTGCCTGGAGCCAGTGACCACACTCCACTCTGTGCCTCAAAGCACTGGGAGGCGCGCCCTTCCCACTAGAGCCACCACACCCCATGCCAGATTCCGGGCCTTTTCACTGCCCTTTGGGGGCCGGCACAGCCGACAGGAAGCCTGTGGAACTGACCGCCCTGCTTTATTTAGAAATCCCAGAGACGCGCCGGGCTCAGCCGGGCCAGCATGCTGCACCTCCAGTAACCAACGTTCCCATGGAAGACCTCAATCTTCAAACAGGAAACCTGCCCTAAGGAACAGACAAGGGGCCTCCTCAGTGGTTTTCTACCAAGTGACAGAAACACGACGGCAAAGGACTTGTACAGGAGAGGTCACGGGAGGCAGAAGCCAGCTGGGCCGGCCTGGGACCCCCACCCCAAGAGCTCCTAACTGGGTTTGCAGCATCCCTCCCCACCCCCGACCTCAGGGTTCTCTTCCCTAAAATGGGAGAATGGTAGTGAGTTCTCAGGACTGTGCACTCACTGCACAGCCATGCCCCCTACTCCCGTTCCCAACCAGACAAAATGCTAATAAGAACTCGGCCTGGAACAACAGCACCTTACAGAGCTGAATGCCTGCCTTCTACACGTTCATACTCACAGTACACACTGCACGTACACACACACATACACGGCTTTGCACGCACACACAAAAGTACCCACTTCGTAAGCATCCACGAAACATCCACTGACTATACCCCGGTTCTACAAGGCGCATTTGATACCGTGCACTACCACGGGGCACTGGGGGGAGGGGGGCACGGCAGGCAGTATCTGGGGGAGTCTGTGGCTGTCAGGACTGGGGGTGCTCCTGGCATCTAGTGGGTCGGGCCAGGGATGCTGCTCAGCCCCCACCCCAGCATTGACAGCTGTCTTCCTCCTGCCACAGACCTCCACTTTCGACCTGCAAGCTCACTTCTTCCTCATTTTTCCATCTGCCCCCCGATACCTAGAACCTACCAACCCCCTGAAATGGGTGCATGATTCCCCATAGTGCAGGCTGGCAGGGGGAGGGCTGGGTGCCTCTCTAGGGTCACAGGGCGGCGGCAGTGTGGGACCGTAGACAGATACTCCTGCTGCCGACATCCCAGCCCACAGACAGGCACGAGACACTTTGGGCAGGTGGCCATGCTGGGTCTCCCAATCCAGGGAGACTGCAGACACACACCAAGGCTGCAGAAGCGTGAGCTGCAGACCTGCCTCCCTGAACCCCAGCTCAATCCAAACCTTGGGTGCTCAGGACAGGTGGCAGGGGCATCTGGAGGGTCACGCAGCCCCTAGGCAAAGGCTGTCAGGCAATATCGTTAACACGCCAGTAACTTCTAAAGTCCCTGTCCCATAATCAAGTCTGTGTCACACTGCAAAACCAGCCAGTGCCACGCTGTCCCCCCAGAGGCCCCCCAGAACCCACTGCAAGTCTCCTCCAAACTTGAAGGTTACTCTCTGCCTGTCTTTTCTGCAAAGCTGGCCTGTTATATAGTCTTTAAGTAAAATGAAACACGTCTGTAAAAAAACAAAACAAAACAGGGAAGGTACTTCATCAAATGGAGGGCCCAGCAGGGCCACTGCAGGCAGGAGAAGCAATGCATTCCCGCCAAGGCCTGTGGCCTCCCACAGGGCCACCAACACGGCGCATTCACCTGCAAACTCCGCTCCTCTGAACCCTCCACCACCCTTCCAGCGCACCCCTCTGTGACAGCGCCCCCTCCCACCTGGAGCCCATCCAAGCTACCTCCGAGGGCGGGTAAGCATTTCCAACCTTCCCTGCAGTGCAGGAATGAAGCCGAGCTCAGGAGAAGGGCAGGGCAAGGGTTTCTGTTTTGTAAACGACCTTCCTGTCTTTGGCAGTGGAGTCCTTCAACAACCCTCCTCTGAGCGACAGCACTTTGCCAACAGCTGGGCCGATGTGCTCCCTACAACAGGTGTGCCCTGGGGAGATGGAGACCGGGACCCTGGCGACTGCGACAGGAATTTTCTCCAGGAGGGAGAGGACCTGGGAGAGCGGCTCCCACCAAGACTAAAGGAAAGGGTTTGGGGAAGGGTGGTGAGCTGGCCGGCTCTGAGGACCAGCAAAGGCTCCTGCGGGGGACCCCCCCCCTCGCCCTGGCCTCCGCCTAAAACAGGAGCCCCAAGGGAAGGAAAGGCTGTCTTCTCCCGCAAGGGGTGTACCCCATTCAGGAGGGAAACGGTTTTCCCGCAGAGGGAATGGGGTGCTAGAGGGGGACAGACCCTGCGGGCGCAGGAACAGAGCTCCACCTGCTGGGGGGAACCAAGACAAGATCCTGGGAGGTGAGGGGCACAGCTTGTGGACTGCAGCCCAGCGGTCTGGCCCTGAACAGATGCTGGGGCAGCGAGGAGGTACAGCCAGTAGGGCAGGGACAAAGGGCCAGCCCTGCGTGGGCAAGGGGCTCGCTGGCTGAGAAGTGGCACAGGGCCGACCCTCGAGGGTTCTGGGGCGCCCCCCCACCCCGGACAGCAGAGGCAGGGCCTGCCCCCGAAGAAGCCGGGAGCCTGATCTGGACAAGCGAGGCAGGGCTGACCCCGCAAGGGCCTGGACGCCTGATGTGCACAGCAGAAGCAGGGGCTGGCCCTGGGGGGCTCCGGAAGCGCCACATGGGCAGCGCAGGCACGGCTGACCCTGGAGGAACCTAGGGCCGGATCTGGACCTCACAGTCAGGGCTGACACCGCCCCCCACACACACGCCCAGGGGCCAGGGCTGGCGGTGGCCGGCACAGGCGGGGGCCGGCCCCGCAGCAGCCTGGGGCGCGCTGCGGGCACAGCACGGGCGGGGAGCGGCACGGGCCGCGGGCAGCACGGCAGGCTCGGCCCCACCCGGCCCGCGCCCACACCCGCGGCTGGCCCGCGGGACCCCGGCAGGCCCGGCCCCACTCACCGAGCAGCAGCAGCTTCAGCTCGCGCCGGGCGTCGCGCTTGTCCCGCCGCAGCTGCTTCTCGATCTCGGCGTTGATCCGCTTGGACTCCTTCACCTCATCGCTGAGGCAGCACGCCATCATGGACTCCAGAGTCATCGTCCCGGCCCCGGCCGCCCGCCGGCCGCCCCCGCCGCCGCCGCCCCCCGGCCCGGCCCTGGCCCGGAGCCGCCCCGGCCGCGCCCGCCTGGCCCTCGGCGTTCGGCCCCCGGGCCGGCCGGTCCACCTCGGCCACCTGCGAGCGCCGGTCCCCGCTTGGCCGCGCACTCCCGCCCAGCTGCCCCGCGCCCGCGCCGCCGCCGCCGCCGCCGCCAACCGCAGCCGCCGCGACCAAGCGACAGCGGTGCACAACCTAACCCGCGCCCGGACAGAGCCGACGGGCGGGCAGCGCGGCCAATGGGAGGGGGCGGCGGCCCGCGCGCCCGCTGCGGAGGCGGGACTAGCGGCTGCGCTGGGCGGGGCGACGCGCGGGCGGGGCGGAGCGCGGCGCGGCGGGCGCGCCCGCGGGTTAGGTTGCGCCGACGTGGGAAGGGGGACGCGCAGCCGGGAGCCGGGCGGGGCCGCCCGGGATTGTGGGAATGTGGCGGACTCGGCGGGCCGGCTCGTCTGCGCTCGGCTCCGCTCGGCCCCGCTCGGGTCGCTCGGCCCCGGGGCGAGAGGTGTGGACCCCGCCGCTGCAGCGGCGGGACTGAGGGACCTCGGGCCCCCCGCGAGACGCTAGGGCATCAGCCCTCACGGTCTCCCGGGAGGCGCCCTGGCATCGCCAGGCCGGAAACGAACCTTCCTCTCCTCCGTTAAGCATTCAGGGAACGCCTCCTGTATACCGGGCCGGAGCCCAGCACTAATGCAGTGCCTGCTGTATGCCAAGCAGGAAACAAGCACATTAACGGAATGCCCACTATAAACCAGGCACGAGCCAGGCGCGGCGCCTCTTATATGCTGGCCACGTACGAGTCGTCCATGCAGTGCCTGCTGTATTCCAGGCAGGGAACAAGCATTAATGAGGCGCCTACTTTATACCAAGCGCTGCTTTAAGCCCTTTAAACCAACCCTACTGCCCGGTTGATTTTACTGGAACATAGCCAAGCCCTTCGATTTACATGTGGAGCCGAGCTGCTTTCACCCTGCACCCGCCCAGTCCTGTGGTTTCAACAGCCCTAAACTATTTACCATCTGGCCTCATACAGAAAGAGACCTAGAACAAGGTTCAAACACGGAGAAGATACTCAATCAAGGTGTTTTGAGTGATGGAAAAAGAATAAAAGAGCCTGAAGTGGTCCCAGCGCGGCAAACCCATTTTACAGACAGGGAAGCTGAGGCTCCACTAGGCACGGTTCCCTGCTATGGCACCTCTCCCAGCCCTGACCCGGTGAGACCGCCCCCACCTCCTCTCCCCACCTGGCCGTGCCCAGACCCCATCACACACCTTCCGAGCTGCACCTTGACACGCTGTTCTTGCCTATCTTGAGATATGAGGTGAAGGGAGGGTCAAAGTCTCCATTTATTAATTGAGTGGGTGTGTGGGAAGATTTGCTCCCTGAAGCTCTCCTCTCTGGGGCTTCCAGCTGCACCTTGCTGGACACACAGCCAGGGTGGGGGAGGGGGTCCGTGGGGCTCCCCCCACAAATAGAAGCTCCCTGTGTTGTGGGCCGCCCCCGTGACCAGCAGACCGTGAGCTCCAGGAGGGCAAGTCTGGGTCACCAGGGGGTCCTCTCCCCCTCTGCAGCGACATGCCCGTGCGCCCGGTGCTCGGTGGATAGGACAAGCAGAATCCCCCACCCATTGTGCAAGGCCCATGTGTGCGGGGAGCTTTGTCCATCTCATTCCCTGTGGTGCCCCCAGCACTAACACAGCACCTGGCAAATAGTGGGTGCTCCATAAATGTTTCTGAAACCAGCGAAGAAGCCCAGCTGTCTGGCATGCTTGTCCTCATTCTCTGGAGAAGAAGAAATCACTGTCCTTTCTTCCCTTCTGCGCTCCTGCTCCTTGCTGCTGTCGGCCTCCTCGTGCAGGGCCTGAGGGGAGCCCGCTTCTCCCTCTGCCTGCCACTCCCCATGCTCGTGCCCTCTCCCTCTCTCTCTATCAAGTAAATAAAGAAATAAAAATAAAATCTTAAAATAAAAAAAATAAAATAAAATTCTGGAAAATGCCAACTACGGAAATCCATAGTGACTAAAAGCAGGTTTCTGGTTGCCTGGGGACAGGCAGGGGCACAGGGAAACTTTCTGGGGTGATGCAGGTGTTTTTCACCATTTTGATTGGGCCAGTGGTTGCGCAGGGGTCGACATAGGACAAAACTCCACTACTTGAGGATTTTAAACACGGGCAATTCATTGCATGTCAGCTAAGCCTTCATAAAGCTGCAAAAACAAGAAATGTTCGAAGAGGTGGTACTTGCAAAGTACACAGTGGGTGCTTAATAGATGCTTACATGTTTACAAGGACCCCAGGCAGGAGCAGGCAGGGTTGGGGCTGCAGTTGCGGGCAGGGAGAGTCGGTGTGCTCCTTCAGCCTCACCACCCCCTCCCGCTGCAGCTCTGCCCTGGACACCCGGAGGAGGAAGTGGGGGGAGCGGCAAGGGAGCAGACCTGGGGAGGGGGGTTGCCTCCCCCTTCTCATCCATTTGCTGCATGCCTACCATGGGCCGGGAGCTGGGCAGGCACCAGGAAGGCCCTGATGGATAAGGAAACTGAGGTCCACAGAGAGATAGTGAACTGGGCCCCGGGGCCCAGCCAGTTGCTAAACACTGACTTTGGCTTCCCCACCCAGAGGCCCAGGGAGACAAAGTCCGAGGCTGCCGCATCTTCATGGCCAGGAGGCCCTGCCTTCCTGGCTCCCTGGGGCCTCCTGGCCTCCTCTGTCCTTGGAAGTTGGCCTCCCATGCCTTGAGGAGTTCGATTTTATGAGGGGTCCAGAGGCTGGGGAGCAGGCCGTCTCCCGGCACAGAGCAAAGGTGAGGGGGCCCAGGCTGGCGCAGGCAGGTTGCAGGGGCCCCCAGGGTCAGAGTGCCAGCCCCAGGATTGGGCGGCAGGTGTCACAGCACCCAAGTGCCTGACCTTCTCCAGGGCTCCATGCTGATTTTCTATTAAAGAAATCACCCGGATCATGTGGACACTTAGTGTCAGAGGAGACTAGGGGAGTCTGGCATCTTTGTCCTGCCGTGCCCCCGGCATTGCCCCCAACCTGCAATCATGGAGGCTATTGGTTTGTTTACTTTTTCTTTTTTTTTTTTTTTTTCAAAGACAGTGCCGTCCACGAAGACTGGGTCTGTGCTGTGTTTCCAGAACCCAACCCTGGGCCTGGTCCACAGGAGGCACCCAGGAACACCTGCACAGCTCCATAAATACGAGTTTGTACTCTTTACCAAAGAAAGACATACAGAGGGCCCAGGAGCACTTAGGAAAAAGCAAATTAAAACCACAGTAAGCTGCCACGTACCGGAATGGCTAAGATGAAAAAGTCCGACCACCCTACGTGCTGACAAGAGTAGGGGGCAACTGGAACGCTCATCTGCAGCTGGTGGGAATGCAAAGTGGTAGAGCCACTGTGGAAAACGACGTGGGGAGGATCTAAAAGGGTGAACCATTTACCTACCAAGGGATCTAACCATTTCATTCCTAGAATGAACAGACAGAAATAAAAAACATCTGTCCATAGAAACATTTGCACAAGGATCCTCAGGGCTGTCCCACTTTAAGTAGTCAGTGGGTGAGAGTCAGACTGTCTTCATCCCTGCAGGCTGTGTGACACTTGGGAAGTGGCTGTCCTTCTCTGAGCCTGTTTCTTCTTCTGTTAACATGGGGGTGATGATGAGAATTTCCACCTACTGATAAGCACGTGAAAAGATGCTCTGCCCACGGCAGACACCCAATAAATGCTGGTTTGTGTGATTCAAAAAAAAAAAAATAAGATACCAATATCATTATTTATCAGGGAAATGCAAATCAGAACTACACTGAGATACTATTCCACACCCACGAGGAGAGCTATAATAAAAAAGACAGACAGCACCAAGTGCTGATGAGGACATGGAGAAACTGAGTCCTAGTGCACCTGCTGGTGGGGATGGAATATGGTGAAGTTGCTGGGGAAACAATTTGGTCTTTCTTCAGAAAGGTAAACGTGCAATTACCATCCCACCAGCAACTCCAGTCCTAGGCATCTATCCAAGAGAACCGAAAACGGTCGTACAAACAAAATTGTGTACACGCATGTTCGCAGCAACATGATTCATAACAGCCAAAAGGTGGGAACACCCCAAGTGTCCATCAAAGGATGAGCGTATAAATACTATGAGTCCCCCACGCACGGGCACGTCACTTGGCTGCGAGCAGGAGCCAGGCGTCCACACGCACAGCCCCGGGGACAGACCCCGAGCCCACGAAGCTCAGGGAGGGAACCAGACACAGAAGGGCCCACTTGGTGTGAGTCCACGTGTGTGACACGTCCAGAACAGTCTCATCCACGGACGGGAAGGGGGCTCGTGGGGGCCGGGGGCTGGGGAGGGGGATGGCTGATGGGGACGGGGCTTCTTTTTCAGGTGATGGAATGTTCTGGAATTAGTGGTAATGGTTGCACAACATAGTAAATATACCACAACCCACCGAATCGTACTATTTAAAATGGTGAATTTTGGGATGCCTGGGTGGCTCAGTCGGTTAAGCGTCTGCCTTCGGCTCAGGTCATGATCCCAGGGTCCTGGGATCGAGCCCCGCATCGGGCTCCTTGCTCAGCGGGGAGCCTGCTTCTCCCTCTGCCTGCTGTTCTCCCTGCTTGTTGCCTCTCTCTGAGAAATAAATAAATAAAATCTTTAAAAATAAAATAAAATGGTGAATTTTATGGTAGGTAAACTACAGCTTAAAATATGTATATAAATCAATGATGAAAAGAAAACTTCCCACATAGCTTCACACACAGAAGGCACTCAATAAATGCTCAGAATTGCCATTACAATGGGCTGAATGAACATCATGAAGCCAGTTTTTATTCAACAAACATTTATTGAGCACCTGCTGTGATCTGGGTGCTGGGGACACAAATCCTTGCCCTCAGGGAGCTGGCTTTCTAAGTGGAGTCACACAGATAATAAACAAATAATTAAAATACAGTCAATCCTTGAAAAACACCCG